AAACTCCCAGATTTAGATAGTTAATTTATTCTCTGATGCTTTGTCCATATTTGTTGAAGAAATATTTGAATGTATGAACATTGCATTTGTAATTATAAGCCAACTCAACTTAATTCTGTGTCATTGTTTTTGTGTTATTAAAATTAATTATCAATGGAGAAATATTTTTAATTTCTTGATTGACTGTAGAGTGGATGCAAGCAGCCCAATATTTAATTTTATTATTTCAGAGTGAATATGGAAAAGTACCCATAAGTAAGGTTAATAGATGTTGTTGAAGAGCTTTATTTAGCATATAAATCTTAATTTTCTGATGATATTCCAACCAACATGAATACCAAATAATGAAATAGCTGTAGAATTTTATATATATATAAAATTTTATATATAAAATATATATATACACACATATACATATATAAATATATACACATACATATACATATACGTATATAAATAATATATATAAATACATATTTAAAAAAATATATATATATAATGAACCTCAGTAGCACAAATTTTAAACAAAATCAGAGGGTTATAAATCAGAGAAAGACTAAAAGTTTTCTTGGCTGCTCAATCCCATGATTATATTAATGATGTTTTAAAATGTCTCTTATTGGAGTGCCTGGGTGGCTCATTTGGTTAAGCATCTGCCTCCGGCTCAGGTCTTGATCCCAGGGTTCCGGGATCCAGCCCTGCATGGGGCTCCCTGCTCAGTGAGGAGCCTGCTTCTCCCTCACCCTCTGTCAGTCCCCTGCTTGTGTGCTCCTGGTCTCTCTCTTGTCAAATAAAAAATAAAATTAAAAAAAAAAATAAAATAAATAAAACAAAATGTCTCTTATTAGTCAAACAGTTATGTTATTATTGAAAGTGCATATGCAAAAAATTGATGAGTTAGAACAGGTGAAAAAGTATTGTGAAATGTGTTGGAATGTATTTGTAAAATAATGTTAACTACTATATAAAGTCAATAAGATTACTGAATGAGCACACTAAAAACACTACACCCCTCTCTGTATTAAATAATAATAAGAGTAATTTTGTTAGTGTTAATAACCTATATTTACCCAGTACATTTTTCACAATTCTCAAAGCTCTTTTACTTACTCTGTTATTTGATATTTGTAGCAACCTTATGAAGATGTAAGTCAGATTTTGCAGTATTGCAGTGAAGGGTACAGAGGGTTAGAAAATGAATGAAGATAGAAACTCAATTGGGGCCATACTACAAAATAAATACAGTTTCGAATTCGAAGCCTGCTTAAAAAGTAGAATTTAAACATGATGAATCTTTTACTAGGCATGGAAGATTTATTATGGAAATTCATTAGTCATTTCTTTTAAATATATTCAATCAAGGGGTAGAACTTCTGAAAATTACCTAGTTTGAATGATGGTTGTAAAAATTCCTCAAAATATTTAGGGATAACTGACTCAGAAAATATAAAAATGCTTAAGGTAGACTTAAAAAAAATATTTGGAACCAGTCAGACTGTGATGTTATTATTAAGGAACTAATTTTCTCATACATAATGTAGAAATAACAGTATCTTTGGATTGTGCTTAATGACCACTAGAGTTACATTATCCACATGAGCTATAAAGTAGCAGATATCTGTGGGAGGTCACAGTAGACAAGCGCTTGATCCTTCCCAAACAAAAGAGGTCCTAGTTGGAGTAGGGGCGTGGAAGTATTGGGGAATTGGCATGTACGTCATCATTATTATTCTATGTAGGTTACCAAAGGATTTCTGGATCTCTGCTTCTCAGTCTTCTTCACAACTACAGTGTAGTGCTGAAGAGGGTAAAGGTCATATGTTATCCTTTCTTACAGACCCAGAACTAATATTTCCGAAAAATGGAACAGGATATAGGGACTACTCTAAGAAAACAATAGTAAGGTGTTGTTACATATACATAAATGAGAGTTTTGTCAGCCAATACAGGTGCCCAGACCTGTCAGAAATCCTTTGGTACTGCATCAGAGTAAGAACAAGATTAGTAAGGAAAAGGCAGAGAAGGTAATGCATTCTTATGTACTTTTTTCCATGACTGGCCATTGGGAAAAGTCCTCCCTTGACCAACTGGTGTTCTAATGGGATGTTAGAGTTCCATTCCTATCAAAGGCAATTTTATATAACAATGTTCCTCTTAAAAGAGTAGTGTATTTTATGATTTTTTTTTTCCAATTTAATCCACATATCTAAATCATCAAAGGAGGGGCGCCCTGCTGGCTCAGTCAGTAGAGCATGTGACTCTTGATCTTGGGGTTGTAAGTTCTGAGACCCATGTTGGGTGTAGAGATTACTTTAAAAAAAAATCTTAAAAAGAAAATCATTGAACTCACAAACTTGTTTTTACCGTATAATGGTTAGCACTGTGCTATGGAGCCTGCTTTCCTCCTTGGGTTTAACTCCTCAATGCACCACCAACAGTGTGACCTTAGGTGAATCATTAAAAACCCCTGTGCTTTAGTTTCTTTATCTATAAAGTGGTGATAATGTTATTACCTGCATTACAGAATTGTGAGGATTAAATGACTAATATATGCAAGAGCTCGAAACAGTTTAATTTGTTAAATGTTTCATGACTGATGGTTATAATCTTTGGGGATACTTATTTTTGGTAAGAATTTTTTTAACGTTTAACCATGAATACTAAAAAATAGTATGAAATAAAGACGTCCTATGTTCTTAGTTTTAATGTAATAGCTACTGGCATGATCTTATAAGGTTGATAACTGCAACAATTCCTCAGTTTTGTGATTTTTACCATTATTTATAAAAAGTACATATTGAAATGGCTATAATTTAACATACAGTAAGTGCATGCAGCATGGTTTACTTCTTTTCAAGTTATGCAATTTGGTAGATAAACTTCTAACTGCATAAAGCAAAAAAGTTTGTTATCAAAACACATGAAAGTAAAGAATAATTTAGAGGTAATTTGTGCTGTACAGCCATAACACAAACAGTAGTTAGTATAAGTTACTTTGCGTACTTACTGGTTTCTGCTTAGAATGTATTTGTGTGCTGTTTCTCTACTAACTGAAATATGAAAATAATTCTGTTGCCCTAAATTCTACTTACATTTTTGCTGCTTAGAATTGCTAAATGATGAGTTTAAATATTATCAAATACCACATTATTCAATGTTGGGTCATTAAAGGTTAAATATTTTATAAGTGAACAATCATAACCCCATAGGACTTTTTGAATAATCATTTATAAAATGTTGGTACAGTTGGATATATCAATTTTATTGGGTCCTCTTTGTTATTTGGTGTCACTAATTTGTCCTTTCACTGTTAGTAGTCACTTTATGACCTTAGGGAAGTCAATAACTAAGGTGTAATAATTAGTCACTTAAAATAAAGATAATCATGTAGGATTAGTCACTTTTGGTACTAAAAGATAAACACTATAAATTCTAAGTGTTAAAAGATTCTAGAAGCTAGGGGAAATTTCTTCCATATATGCGTCTTGTATGAGTTCATGTACTTTGAGGGTGCTACATAAATAAACCTTCACAGCAAGCCAATTACAACTTGAAAATCTTGTCTCCATAAATCATATTGGATTATAATTCACTTTGTATCATTTCTTTCTTAACAATCTTTTAAAGAGATATTATGAAAGACGGTCAGTTTGACTTACAATCATGACGGAAATATGATCGTAAAAATTCTCTGCAGAGTATAGCCCAGAAACCATGGAACTTCCTTGTTTCTTTTACTACCTCTATGGCTTTTTTTCTTCAGAAAACTGATTTTTTTTTTTTTTTCCCATCCTTCTCTGCTACAAAGGAAATTACGATCAAGTCTTTACTTGTATATATATCCTAACTCTGACCACTTCCTAATACCTCTGCTGCTAAAACCCTAGTCCAGGCAATTCCCCTCTCTTTCTTAGATCTTTGTACTAGGCTTTCAACTAAACCTTCCTTCCTCTGCTTTTGCCTTTTTTTTTTTTTAAGTCTAGTCCATGAAACAAGCCAGATATACTTAAAGCATAAATTTAATCATAAATCTCCTCTGCTTAAACCTTTCTCATGGCTTCTCGCTAAAACTGGAACAAAGTCCAAATGTCTTATCATGGGATATGCATTTCTGCTAGATCTCATCGTCGATCCTCTGACGTTTCCCTCCCTCCAGCAACAGCCCCCAACTCTACTATCCTGAAGCCTCCAACTACCCTCGCATTCTCTCTGTCTCTAGAACATGCCTCATGACCCTTACCCTTGTGTTCACTCTTGGAATTCTTCTCTTGGGTCTCTGATGGCCTTCTCAAAATTTATGCCTCTATTCAAAGGTCATCTTCTTAGAGGAAGGCTTTCCTGAACACTGTGAGTAAAACAGACTTCTCTTTCTTTGGTTCCTTCTTCTTGTTTAATTTTCTGTTTAGTATTTACCGCTACCTGCCATTATAATAATTACACATTTATATCTGTGTTGTCTTCTCCTTTGTGTACTGTGGTGCCTTTGGTATCTTCAGAAATGTCTAACATATGGTAGGCATGTAATAAACATTTGTTGAATGAAAGTATGACTGTTTTCAGTAATGGCCTATTTTTACTTCTGTGACTCCCAATATTACCCCACCATTCCTACCTATGCTTCCATGGTCTTTAATCCCAAGGCTCCAGGAAAAATTGTCATATTTTTTCTCTCTTTATTCATCTCCACTTTGATTATTATCTTAACTCTAGCAGTACTGACTGTAGTTATATTGTGGCTGACTTCTATAGATAAAATAGCCTCAGTTGTCTTTGGTGACAATTTGTTCTTTCCAGAGCTCACTAGGGAATAAAACGAAATTAAGATTGATTTTCTGATTTATTTTTTTCCCTGCAGTAAAACTTCTGATTCATATGTAGTCTCAGCCTCAAGATGCATCTCTCATTAAGGATAAAATCTGAAAAGGGTATTAAAGTTAAACCATGGTTCTAAGTTTACACAGGCGATGACAGAAACAAAATGTATTTTGTTTTTCTTTCAGATCTCCCACTAAAGACATGGATTCAGAAGAGAAGGAAATTGTGGTTTGGGTTTGCCAAGAAGAGAAGATTGTCTGTGGGTTAACTAAACGCACCACCGCTGCTGATGTCATCCAGGCTTTGCTTGAAGAACACGAGGCTACATTTGGAGAGAAACGATTTCTACTGGGGAAGCCCAGTGATTACTGCATCATAGAAAAATGGAGGGGTTCAGAGAGGGCTCTTCCTCCACTAACTAGAATCCTGAAGCTTTGGAAAGCCTGGGGAGATGAGCAGCCCAATATGCAATTTGTCTTGGTTAAAGCAGATGCTTTTCTGCCAGTTCCATTGTGGAGGACAGCGGAAGCCAAATTAGTACAAAACACAGAAAAAGTATGGGAACTCAGTCCAGCAAATTACATGAAGACATTACCACCAGATAAGCAAAAAAGAATAGTGAGAAAAACTTTCCGGAAACTGGCTAAAATTAAGCAGGACACAGTTTCCCATGACCGAGATAGTATGGAGACCCTAGTTCATCTGATTATTTCCCAGGACCACACCATTCATCAGCAAGTCAAGAGAATGAAAGAGCTGGATCTGGAAATTGAGAAGTGTGAAGCTAAATTCCACCTGGATAGGGTAGAAAATGATGGAGAAAATTATGTCCAGGATGCATATTTAATGCCCAGTTTCAGTGAAATTGAGCAGAAGCTGGACTTGCCTTCCGATGAAAACCAGAGTCTGGACAACCTGACTGAAAGTGATGGAATTGTACACCTGGAGGAGAGATTAGCGTATTACAGAATGCTCATTGATAAGCTCTCTGCTGAAATAGAAAAAGAGGTAAAAAGTGTTTGCACAGAGATAAATGAAGATGCAGAAGGGGCCACTGCAAGTGAGCTTGAAAGCTCTAATTTAGAAAATGTTAAGTGTGATTTGGAGAAAAGCATGAAAGCTGGTTTGAAAATTCACTCTCACTTGAGTGGCGTCCAGAAAGAGATTAAATACACTGACTCATTGCTTCAGATGAAAGCAAAAGAGTATGAATTCCTGGCCAAGGAGCTCAATTCACTGCATATTAGCAACAAAGATGGATGCCAACTAAAGGAAAACAGAGGGAAGGAATCTGAGGGCCCCAGCAGCAGTGGGGAGGTTCCTTCCTTGACTCAAAGAGTATTTAACTTGTATACAAATGACACAGACTCAGACACTGGTATCAGCTCTAACCACAGTCAGGACTCGGAAATAACTGGAGGAGATGTGGTGCTATTGTCAACATAATTTGAATGGCTTGTTTCTGAACTACTTTAACGTTCATGTTTGTTTAATAGGAAAGTTTATTTTAAATATCACATTCTGAAAAATGATGTAAATCATGTTGAGTATCCAGTAGTTAGTAAAAGCGAGAGAAAGTTTATTTTTGATTTAAAAGTTCCAAAGTCACCTAATTATTACAAGTTCAGACGAGGAGATGTTTATTAGGAATGCAACACAAATAGCTTGCAGGTGTCTAACAGAAATGATTTGATGGGAATTATCATCCCTTAGAGCTTCTGTGAGAAATGATTTACACAAAACTAATTCTTAATATTGCAGTCAATGTATTGAAACTAGACACGTGAGCAAGTAAAATTAAAAATGTGATATATTTTTTCAAAGCTATATCATTGGAATTTTAAAGTCTGTAATATACATGACAATTATGCTATTATAACTGTATTAATTCAGGTCTTGGTTCTTCTCATTGATACTTAGAATGTACATCATCTCTGTGACTTTCTGAACCCCTCTGCTTGTTTAGACCCAGACAACAGAAAGCGGGAAGGGCTCCCAGTGGGACATGTGCAAATACCAGCAGTGGATTGGGTGGGGATATAGATAAGAAAGGGCCAAGTGCTACATACAACAGCAATTTTTCTAAAAATGGCTAAAGTTATTAAGACTTATGCCTGGGCTTTCTCTGACAAAGCAAATCTTCTGATCAAACAAATGGTCTCTGTAGGTTTGTTTTTTGAGTGAGGTATGATGTGGGCTACAGAGAAAATCACAGGGTCACAGTCCTGTTTATTTACATCCTGTTCGCAAAACAGCCTCTTATAAAGGCAACTTGGTGTCCTTTGTTTGGGTAAAATAGAGTTCTGTATACCCTAAGTATTAGCATTTTGCCTTTTAACCTACAGAGAGGAACTCACATGGACAAAAACCTTTTATTCTTTTACACTGGAATTCAGATTGTCCCCATAGAACTTAGCATCTAAGGTGCAAACTAGAAAAAAAAAAAAAAAAAGTACTAACCGTACTCTTAACTCCTACTCCTTCCCCAAGGTTGCTAGTAAATAATCAACAAATTGAGAGATTATTTAGATCCCACCTTGAGTGACACTCATTACAGTGCTGGAGGAGGCTTGGTTTTCCTGGTGCTTGGTTAGGACATTTTCCTCCCTCTGTCCTTTCTTTGCTTCTTGCCAGGGAACATGTGATGTAATCATATTGTAAACAATTCATTTTATTATACTGTTAAATAAATACCACTGTGGTTTATTTTTTTCTTTAGCTGACACTTTTCCTGTATGTCAGCACACATGTAAGAATATTATTTTACTTTGTTTTAATATGTGGATATTGGTGAAGATGTCAGTATTTATAATTCCCTCTTATTCCCATGCTTACTATAGTGCATGTTTTAACTGAGTTTCTTAAGCTAGTTTTTCATTTCTCTAATCCCCAGGCTTTTCACCAATATTTGGGAAGATATTTAGGATGTTTTAGTATTTCACTTTGGAGAGCAACTGTGTTATCACTTCTAGCACCAAGATAATGCTAAAGGCTTTAGTCGAAATTGGCTGGTAAAGAAAGTAGAAGTTTCCATTCCAGGGAAAATATAGTGAAAAAGAGTAATAATGGTAACATGGATTTAATTAAAAAAAAAAAAAAGGAAAGGAAAGGAATTGAATGGTCATCTGAGAAAGGGAAGTTTATTTGCCAAATACCCCATTAAATCATTCAGCAGTAAGGCAAGTTTTTGATATATTCATTGTTCACTACTGGGGATTAAATTCAGAAGATCGTCATCAGTGATAAACCAATTGCAATTTTGTTTTCCAAACGTGAAAGCTATCTCTTTGTATTACTCCTTAGTGAGAAAATAATGAAAAGAACATTACTTATCTGTTGTATAATTTGATTAATTATCTGAATTCGAAAGAGGTTCTGGTAAGAAATAGGACAGGAAAGATCATTTCATTTTAGAATCTTTGAGTTAACTTCTGCTTTTATATAGTGCAGTACATACATTCTAAAGACCACTCCTATATTTTTATAATAAATTATGTTAAAGACTCTTCTCAAAAAGTAGAACCGTTGATTTTTCAAATACAATTTAGAACTTCTGGTTGTTTTTTAGTTATACAAATGTATTCGTGCTTTTGACTCATTACAATATTAAATCATCAGTGACCATGCTGAATCTCTAATTTAGAGTAATATATTAATACAGATATAAAACTTAACTACAATTGCCTTCATCTCTAGATACTAAGCTATTCTTTATTAAAGTGAGAATTTGAATTATAAATATAGAACTTGATAGAGGCTTTAATGTTTTAATTCTGTATAGAAACTTTAAAGTGTTTATTAATTTTTGAATAACCTAACAGGTTAACCATGAAATTGCTATATGCAGCTAGAAGTAGCAAACCAAAGTGGACTCTTCTTCCTTCTTGTCACAACTTAGATTTTACCTTGTTCATCCTCCCCCTTGGAATGCCTATTTTCCCTCTATCCGCCATACACAGAAACCTACCCACTTTGTCTTTTTAACATGTTGTGTTTTCTCTGAAACATTTATTCCATTCAATCAGTTGTAATATTTTATCTCGGATCCCACAACTATTCTAGGTGTATTTTTCATACAGGAGCACTTACATTACGGCTTAGCTCATATTTATTACGTACTTACCTACCTTCCTTCTCCCAATGTATTTTTTTATTGTTTTATTACTTTGTCTTCTATCTTGTTAACTATAATCCCTCCAATCGACCTCCTTACCTCTTTGCCCCACCCAGTTTTTGAATTGAAATGCTAAATTTTAGAAGACTGCAACCATTTTTTTTACTTTATTTTTTTCATTTTTTAATTTTTTTTACCTCAACTATTTTAAAAATTATTTCTATGATGCTCATGCATTTTGTATATAAATATGCATTTTAGCAGACTTAAAACAATAATTCTACTTACAAATTCTTTAGGGGAGGTATGAAATCGTGCTTTGAAAAATTTTTAAATTGGTAAATTTTTGAATTTTATTTTTAAATTACAATTACTGATTTAAGGCAATACAAATAGTCTTTTTAAAAGGCTCTCAATGGTTAAATTACGGTATTTTCCTTTGCATTGTATGCATGTAGAAAAAAATGTGTATTCTGTAGAACTGAATTTTAAGTAGTAGACACAAAATAACTTTGGAATATTATCCTAAATGAAATATCTATTTTATTTTCTTTCTAACTCAAAAAAAAAAAAATGGCCTCAGTATATAGAAGCTATTCTAGTACATTAAAATTTTATTTTTATATTATTTAAACATCTGTACATGACAAAATATATTTCTGTGGCTGAATTTTAGTTTTTCAAAGTAGGATTATTGTTTTATTTAGAATGTATTTTTCTAGTTGACAAAGGAATACCTTTTAATCCAGATACGGATTTTTTTTTTTTTTTTAATATTAGGCTATTTCTTTTCATAATACCTGACTGGTTTAATAAACCTGATGTAACAAATATAAAGTATCTGTAATTTCTTCAAGTGTAACTAATCCAGAATAATAAAAGAAATAGTTATAAACTTTCGTGTGACATTGCTTGTCTTTTTGGGTGTGTCCCTTGGCTATATTAAAAATAAACATTCTATTAGTCAGAATTATATAATTGCTGAATTAACTTACACAAGGTAAGATCAGGTATTATTTCATGAGAATATATAGCAAATAAGACCTAATAAAACTTTTTGTTAGGTTTCGTACATATCTGTTTCAATTTGTCGTGAAAGAACATCCTTACTTTTACACTAGATGGCTGGTTTCATGAGCTGGTATCTTGCTTTCCAGAATGAAATCCAGTTTAATGTAATAATATTCAAGTGTAAATCTTCCCTGCTATTACTTAATTGGTCACTACTTTATTTCTCAAAATAGGTCTTCAATTTTGACTATCTTTAATAACCAAAAAATTTGAAAATTAAGAAAATCATTTCATCATTCTATAAATAAGCATGAAATGACTCTAATAAAAGATTGCATATAATGTCCAGGGGCATCACACAGGAATAAGTCAACACTATTTTCTTAACCATATATACATTTATACCTATATATGCATAGATTGTCTCTAGAACAACTCACAAATAACACTTTAACAGAGGACATTTCTCAAGAGGATGTCTGGGAACTTAGGCCATGGGTAGAAGGAAGACTTACTTTTCATGCTGTACATTTTCTTAGTATTTGAATTATAGAATAATAATTTGAATATCATGTGTTTTATTGGTGACAACTTTTACATTAAAATGTAAATGTAATGTATTACATTTTATATAGAATATAATATATGTACATATAATATATATATTTATATTATTCATATAGAGACTCCTTATTCTGTTTGATGGCAGCAAGGAATCCTATTGTATCAATTATACTAATTTATTTCACCAGTACTTTCCCAGTGGGCATGTAGGAACTTTCCAATCATGTATTGTTATAAACAGTGTTATTTAATCAATACATTTCTGTGAGGGTGGATTGAATCTCTAGATTAGAAATGCTATGTCAAAGGATGAGGAATGGATTTTTAAAATTTAATAAACTTTGCTAATTATTCTTTATGGAAATTGATCACTTAAAACCTGAGTTAAAAATACTCTCTTCCCCCTCTACCCCCCACCCCGCACTCTGTGCTATTTGTCTCTTTATTATTTTAAGGTAAAATTAAAAAAAAAAAAATTTGAATTTAAATGTAAAGATTTTTCTCATTAACAATATGAGCTGTTTTTTTCTTTTGTCATTCTTAAAAAGGCCTTCCTACTGCATGATAACTAATTTTTTAATTTATTTTAAAAAATATTTTATTTATTCATTTGACAGAGAGCTCAAGCAGGGGGTGCTGCAGGTGGAGGGAGAGGGGGAGGAAGAAGATGGCTCCCTGCTGAGCAATGAGCCTTGAGCAAAGTGGGGCTGGATCCTAGGATGCTGGGATCGGAGCAAAGGCAGACACTCAACCGACTGAGCCACCCAGGCGCCCCCCATGTTAACTAATTTTTAAAAAATTTTTAAAAGATTTTATTTATTTACTGGATAGACAGAGATCACAAGTGGGCAGAAAGGCAGGCAGAGAGAGGGAGGGAAGCAGGCTCCCTGCTCAGCAGAGAGCCTGATGTGGGGCGATCCCAGGACTCTGGGATTATGACCTGAGCTGAAGGCAGAGGATTTAACCCACTAAACCACACAGGCATCCCCATGTTAACTAATTTTAAAAATAAATTTCTCTCGGGACACCTGGGTGGCTCAGTGGGCTAAGCCTCTGCCATTGGCTCAGGTCATGATCTCAGGGTC